TTGTTATCATAACCAAACCTGCCGATGGATTCGTTTCTAATCCGTAATGCAAGTGTCAACCACCTTGCATGGTTCACAAGCCCAGGTTTTGTAATTACATGTTTTTTTGAAACTTTACCTGTAGATATACCAATGGTGTATTCATATAATTTTCTTTGATCATTACTTAAGTCAGAAACAACACGCTCATCTACAAATGACTGAATTTCAGACATTATTGTAGAAAAAACCATTAAAGGGAGTTCATGTATGAAATTTTCTGAAACCAATGAACAAACTGACCTTTATATTTCTTTGGATCATTTGTGTTTCCATCAAGTAGAATAATTATTTGTCTTAATGGGAATTTATTTTGGTGTAGTTGACATCCAACTAAATGTAATTTTCTATTTATAAGTTTTTCTAGCTTAACAACGAGACCATTGTCTGTACCAGTATTTGAACTTGTATCATCAAGAACCACAGCCTCAAGAGTTTCAGTGCTGTTAAACTCATTTAGAACTTCTTTATTTGCATTTGCTTTAGAAACTCCAGTTCCACTTGTAATAATTTTATGTGTTAAATATTTTCTTTTTTTTGTTCCACTTTCTGCAGTAAATGTGAGATGTGCTTATTTTTCAATTCCAGGTATTATAATTGGCTCACCTTCTGAATTGTAAGCAATTGTGTGAACAAGCGTTTCTTTATCTTTTTTATTGTCAACTCCGATAACTTTTAATTGAAAAACTTCTTTACTATGGTCAATGTCAAGTTGTTCTCCTATTCTAAACACTTCTTTCTAAATATTTAATTATACTTACGAATCACTAATAAAAAATATACATATGCCTATTTACCACTAAATTTGATTCTTCAAGACTTTCCACACAAGATTCTTGTTTATACAATGTTCCAATTACTTATTTATTCTTTAATTTGATTAGTTCTTTTTGATCAATTTTGCCAATCTGAAATGACCCTATTCCACCCTTTTTAGCTCTTTGGTCTTTTAGGTACTTCCTTTCATTTACTGGCACCTAAATTAAGAAAAATAGTAAACACTCCTAATAAAATATTTTTTGCTGTAATAAATGTCCTTAAAAAATTGATTTTTATAGTCAAAAAATTTAGTTGCTAAATACCTTTTTCTCTTCATCACAAGTGCATAATATATGCTTTTTTAAACAATCTTTAATGTCACATCTAACCAGTCTGCAGAAATGATTTAATTAATTTGTTAAATATTATTTACATTTTAGAATAAATATGAAAAAAATTTAAAGTTATAAAAATATTATTTAAATTTAAAACTGGATGAAGAAGTTCTTATTATACCTGTCATCACAATTAGAAATAAGTAGTTCACAATTACAAGCAGACAAATCAAACAATCAAAATTTTCAAATAAACAATGCTGGATTTGTTCCCTTTGATTTTTTATGTTCAGCACATAAAACTTTTTTAAAAAGTAACTCAAGTTTTTTCCGTATACTTTTCTTGTGGATAAAGGGAAGTTTAGAGTTCACTTTTCTCCATAGCTCAACAAGTTTAATGCTTATTTGAGAAACAATTTGTTGATCAGTTATTTTTTTGGCAGTGAGTTGTTTATTGAGTTTGTAGCTGAACTGTATAACTTGTTTAAACATAGGAAGGTTGCTAACAGGAAGATCATTTGGTAGTACTGCAAACCGAGAACTTGTGCAGAGAGTTCTACTTTTAAGGGACTTGGCAACTTTTCCCATTTCATTTATTATCTATTTGAAAACAAGATTCAGTTACATATTTTAAAATACAATATTTTATTTCTTATTTAGTTACAGTTAGATCAATGCACTAAATACAAATTGTAGAAATTGTAGATTATTATTTTTAATATTATAATTAAAAATAAAATTATTGACTATAATTAAAATATATATATATATATATATATATATATATATATATATATATATATATATATATATATATATATATATATATATATATATATATATTTATAATATTACTTTTAAAAATTATAAATTTTTTGCTGATTATAATACAATACAGCAAGAAATGTATTACTAAACATAAACACATATTTAAATAAAGATATTTACTTAACATAAAAGCTATAAAAACTACTGATTATGAAATATTGTCATATATGTATATATGTATATATGTATATATATATATATATATATATATATATATATATATATATATATATATATGTATATATATATATATACATATATTATATATATATATATATATATATATATATATATATATATATATATATATATATATATATATACATATATATACATATATATAGATATATATACATACATATAGATATATATACATATATATATATGAATATTAACTGCATCGAAAATTGTCGGCAATATGTGACAAAATTTAACTTTTTATTTTAAAAAAAAACTACTACCATTATGGTAGTTTGTTTACATCATTTGTATAGAATTTTATTTATTTTACTGTTCCATACAGCTCGCTATAAACATAATTAGTTGAACTTGTAATATTTATTTTTTTTATATAAAAAAAATTTAAAATACCTTGCCCTAATCAATTAACCATTTTAATTAAAAAATAGTTACACCATTTTTAGTTTTTGTTACAGAATTTTCCACATCTATACCAATTTTAAATGGTAAAAATGGAATTGCTCTAATATATATAAGTGTGCGTATATATATATATATATATATATATATATATATATATATATATATATATATATATATATATATATATATATATATATATTATATATATATTAGGGTGGTTCTAAAAGCAATTTTTTTTGAAAATGAATGCTGGCACCCCCTGAATATGTTGAATATAATAAAAAAATGTTGGATTTAAAATTTTTTTGAATAAAAAATATTTTAAGGGGTTGCTACCAACCCTCGAACATTAAATAGGTCCCTAATATTATAAAAAAAAAAGTTTTTTAAAAGTATGTCATGTTGGGTCTCAAGCGAAGCGAAGTTATATAAAAATTTCAAAAATAATATTCATTTTATAAAAAAACATTGATAAAAAAAGTTATAATAAAAAAGTCTTGTTAATTTCTCTATTAATCGTTTTTAGTTAAAAAATGTAATTTTCTGTTCCCTAAAATCTATAATAAAAAATTAATTATAAAATAATTTATATTTTTGAAAAATTTTTGAAAAGTTCATGAAAAAATTAAAATGTTATGATAATTTATTACGTTTTAGAAATAGAAGTTTTGTGAGTTACACTTTAATGTTTTGTATCATATAAATAAATCAGAAAAAAAATTGATTTTATGATATTTATTTAAGCACTGTATTGTTTTCTAGAAAAATTGTTAAAAAGAATGTTGCATTTGACCAAATTTTAGTTTATATTTAGCTTTATAATAATAATTATTGATTATTATTAACAAATGATTAATAATATTATTACAAATATTATTTTGTTTAATGTTTCTTCCTAGTTTTATATATAAAAATTTATTTGTTACTCTTTTGCTTTGTGAATTTTTTTTTCTAATTTGTGATATTAAATATATTAATATTTTAAATAGGAATTTAATGAAACTCTTATAACTTGTCATATGAATTTATCAACATTATTAAAAAATTATTATTGTTATATATATATATATATATATATATATATATATATATATATATATATATATATATATATATATATATATATATATATATATATATATATATATATGTATATAGTCTTCTCTGTTTAGCCAGCGCTTATCCCACACTACTGCAAAAACTTTGGCGAGTGCATAAAAGTGCTTGCCAAAAAATAAAAGTGTTTTGTTTTAAATTGCAATAAAAAAATAAAGGTTTATACACCTTTTATAAAAAATAGCTTTTTTTTTACCAGTTCTTTTTTTTAAATATTTTATCTAGTATTTATTTAAAGCATTATTTTTTCTATTTTAATTTTAATTTAAATAGCATGAAAAAATAAATTTTTTTAAATCGTGCAGACTAACTTAAAAATGACCATCCTGCACTTTTTTGTGGGCTTGCTTTTAATTTCAAACAGAGAAGACATGATGCTGACCTTTGAAAGATTGAGGATGGCAAATTATTGCCGAACTCATTTTTCCTGATTCCGAGGGTTTTATATGTACTCAGAGGTGTACTCTGGATTTTTAGATGTTTAAGTTTTGACATTTACAGGCATTGTGCAAACTCCAAACTTTTGTATTATTTTAATTATTGTAATTATTGTATTATTGTAATTATGCTTATATCAAAAGAGGATGTTTGGCAAAGAATTACTGTGAATTACTGTGAAGTTGGGAACAAAAAACCCTCAAAAGTTTATTTTTGGGCCCACCCCATTCCTAATGTAGGAGCAATGAGTTTATAAATTATTTTCTATACTATTTTAATCTAAATTTATATTTATCAACTAATTTTAAATTTCATGCAATAATCTTTTAGTGTTCAGTTTTTATGACCTTGCACAGTTTATAAAAACTGAACACTAAAAAGTCCCCTCAAATTGAGGGGGTTTAAAACTTTAAAACTCAAACATCTTAAAATTCAGCGTACACCTCTGGTATATATTTTTTTTGTTTTAGTAGATGAATATATATATATATATATATATATATATATATATATATATATATATATATATATATATATATATATATATATATATATATATATATATATATATATATATATATATATACATATATACATATATGTATATATATATATATATATATATATACATATATATATATATGTATATATATATATATATACATATATACATATATGTATATATATATATATACATATATGTATATATATATATATACATATATGTATATATATATATATATATACATATATATATATATATATATATATATATATATATATATATATATATATATATATATATATATATATATATATATATATATATATATATATATATATAATTTTGTAGTTTAGCTAGCTTTTTCCTTATTTTTACAGGATGACTTATCACGTTCTAAGACATACACTGTGAGTCACAACATTATAATATTTTATTGTATTCTTTTTATTTTGTTAAAGTGACAGAAGTGCTTAAAACTTTTTTTGCTTATTTTAGCTTGATTTGGATAACTGGTCTAAACAATTTCTAGAGTTTAATGTTGTATGCCCCATTATTGGTTGCAATGGCAGCTTTTTTTTACCATGGCAGTTATTTAAACATTTAAAAACAAAATGCCTAATGACTCCCAGTTTAAAAGATGCAACTGCAATTACAGATCAACTTGAAAGTATGAAATTTCCTTGCTTGATTTCATCTTGTAAGAAGTATAATGAAGTATTTTTACTTCAAGATTTCTGTTCCCATTACAGAACTATCCATATGATTGTAAGTCTTTGTGTTTTTATTTCACAATGAGCTGTTATAGAAATAGATTTGTAGTTTCAAACAAAAAGAGTCTATTAGAGAAATTTTTAAGCTAAAAGAGATTTAGCTTAAGCTAAATCTTAATTAGCTTAAGCTAAACAAACTTCTTTTAAAAAATGATACCTAGTATATAAGTACCTGCAAAAAGATAATTTAGAGTATTGTTCTATATCTTTACAGGACTTATTTCATGAATACATAGTTTCAAAATCCTACTGTTACATATAAGACAGATATTGTATTTGAAATTTTCAGGTTAAAAAAAATCAACAGGCATATATTTAGATTCAAAAATTAACTTTTTTTTCTATTCACTATATTTACTCTATGATTAGAATTTTTAATTTAAATTGAAAATTTGAGTAAACAAAATCAACAACAAAAAAGTATTTTTCTTTACAAAAACTAATTTTTTGGAAAATAATTTGTTAAAGAATTAACTGCTTTCCAAAAAGTTATTAAGAATATGTTAATCCTGTTTGGATTACATTTGTAAGTTTTTTGTTGTTTGCAATAAATTGGTTTGGGGAAAGCAAAATCAAATAAAACAATTCAAAATGTAAACTCATACAAGATCACATAAAGACTACAGTTTTCAAGAGCCATTTGCATGACATGCAAATTCATACTGCAGAAATGAGACAATGGGGATTTCTAACCGTCTTGACCAATTTTTTACAATTTTTTAAACATAGACGTGGAGTTTACAAATTAAAATGTTAAAAAAATACATTTTTTAAAATCACAATGGTCAACAAGTAGGATTTTGAAATTTTTAGATTTTTTACAAAAGATGAATCAAAAGTAGTATAACTGTTTAACAAATTTAAATTTTTTTTTATGTGATTTTTTATATTTAGCTTTTTAAATTGTTATATCATGTGTCACGCGGAACTGCTCAGTGTTTTAACTACAAGTGTGGAGCCAAGATTCAAACCTCAAAAGAAGCACTTCTACATTATGAGCGGTGCAAATTTTTATGGAAATGTGGATCATGTTCAAATGAGTATCAGAGTTTAAACTCTTCAAGAAATCACCTTTGCAATAAAGTATTTATATATATTTTTTTAGTTTACTATTTACTTATGTTTTGCATAAAAATTTAAAACTTAAATTTTTTTAAATTAAAAATAAATTAATTTGTTTTTAATTTAAAAAATTCAAGTTTCAAATTAAAAAAATTTAAAAAAAGTTTGGATGACTATACAAACAGTATATCATATCTTACAAGCATAAAGTCTTTTTTTTTTATAGAAAGTTGATTTGAAGGATCCACTACTGTGTTTAGATGGCAAGCGTAAAAAAAGAAAATCTGCAACAGTGTAGGTTTCAAATAAATTTTTTTTAATACCACATTTTGTATTATTTTATAAATTTGGTCATTATTTTGGTGAATTAAAAATATATATTTTTAATTCGCCAAATTAATGTATAATATATTTATTGATGATGATGATGATGATGATGATGATGATGATGATGATGATGATGATAATGATTGAGGAGGGATAAAAGTGAAATTAGTGACTAAGTTTCTGATCTTTTTCCTGAACTTTGCTGATTACACAGTTACATACTTCAGACAAAAATATTTTGATTGCTTAGAACAGGTAGCAGCGAATCTCTCTTTTGTGACAGCTTTTATTCTTAACTTATTTATTTGATTCAGACATTAGATCAAAACAATAATAGATGTATAGTTAAGCATAAAACTCAACAACTTTTAAATTAAAGTTAAGCCACACAGGCACATCATACAAACAAAGCCTAAAGTAACTGTTTTTACCTTAACAGAGCAACACTTAAATTGTCTCAGAATGTTTATATGAGTATCTCTCTACTTTCATCTGCATCATCAGTAAAGTCAAACTGTAGAGTCTGTTTTGAAAGTGTTTTGAATTGTAAAAAGTAAAAAGCCATCTAGGTTTTATGAAAAAATTAATATTTTTTAAGGTTGTTTAAGTATCATTGTCTCTAGTATCATTCCAAAAATTGGAAATAAATTATCAGTAAAAGAGTAAACAAAACTGGTTGTCTTTTTGAAGTTAAATTTTATGAGGCTTGAGCCTCATAAAAGTATTGACAACTTCATATGTATGTATGTAAAATGTTTGTTTTACATCATACATATAAAGTCTTCAGAAATAAATCAATAGAAAAAGTTGCAAACTTTTGTTATGTTTTATGTGCTATAATATAATATACAATACTGTTGAGATTTAACGCCATGTTAAATCTTTTACAGACATAACAAGAAAGTTAAAGATAGTCTAGTTTAGTTTTAAATAAGTTGAGATTTTTAACTTCCACTGTTTCAATTGGTAAATTGTTCCAGAACTTGATTGTGCGATTTGTAAAAAAACCTTCATGATTTCGATTTAAATATTTCTTATCGGTGAATTTATAATATTTATTACCTCGAATGTTTGAACACGGACCAGAAGAGTTATAAGTATATAACCAATATGCATGATTTTACATGTTTCAAAATTAAATTGCATTTTCCAGTTTATTACCCATTTTTCTAACATAACAATGTCATTTTGTAAAGCATGTGCATCCGTTTCATTATTAACTTCAGCTATTACTTTACAATCATCTGCATACAACAACATTTGGTTTGTAAGTTAACTTGGAAGATCATTGATGTATATTAAAAATAAAATTGGACCAAGCACAGAACCTTGTGGTACACTGCTTACTCTGTCTACCCATGATGATACACTTTCTCCAAGTACAACTCTTTGCTTCCTATCAATTAAAAAAGAAACTATCCACTTCAATGACGTAGATGTAATGCCATATGCTTCAAGTTTTAGTGCTAATCTCCTATATGAAACTTTGTCAAAGGCTTTTTTGAAATCAGTATAAAGAAAATCAAACGATTTACCATTTGCAACACCTGTTGTTACTATATCCATGTACTCTAGGAGATTAGTTGTGCAATTTTTGCCTTTTGTAAAACCATGCTGATTAGAAAATAATAAATTGTTAATCTTTAGATAATGTAAGAGTTGGTTAGATATTAAACATTCTAAAGTTTTACAAAGAATTGAAGTCAAGGAAACTGGCCTATAATTTGAAACTTTATTTCTACTGCCATTTTTAAACAGTGACGTTATGTTTGGTGTCTTCCATGAAATAACATTTACACATTTTTTTAATACAAAAGGATGATGTGCTAAAAAGTAGATTTTTTTAAGACCCAATAAGAGAATAATTTCAGTGCTCAAAGGAAAATAGGGAGTTCAGCTATATTTTACCTGAATACTCTTTATATCTCATATATATATGTATATATATATATATATATATATATATATATATATATATATATATATATATATATATATATATATATATATATATATATATATATATATATATATATGTATTCAAATAATCATAATGCTAAACAGTTTAGATATAGTATTAATACAATACACATTCATAGTTTTATATTAATACTAGAAATATTAAAGGCTCATACAACAAGTCTTAGATAAATATCTAAAAGTTTGACTTAGAGAAAAAAAAGGACAATAAAATTAAATTGAAATAGTTTATTATAAAATTAGTGAGAAAAAAAAGAAGATAAATTAGTCAATTGAAAATATTTTTTTTTTTTTACTTGAAATGTCTAAGTAATTTATTTTTGTTCTTTACTTTAAGAAGAAGGAAAACACTCTTTGCAGAATGCGAAAAACTATATATTTTATATTTAGCATTATTTAGTATATATGTTTGTTTTGTATTTTTAGATGATTCTTGTACAGATTGTTTTTCTGTTTTATTTTTCATTGCTTCGCTATAAAAAATACAACTGAACCGCAATTCAAACTTATTTGTAATACCAGTAAGTCCTGCACAATTAAGAGTATTAATAAACTTTTGGTCAGCTACAAGCCTCTTTTTTTTTTTAATTTAAGTGCTCCAAGAAGTCCTTACGGTCTTATCACGTAGCACAGTGGGAGAGCATTTAACTAGAAGTTCATGCCTCCTTCCTTACCAATGTCACTAGAGCTGGCGTCGAACCTCAGGAAGCACGTTCAGCAAGCCTTATACGGCCACACATATAATATTTTGTTTTGAAAATTTAAAAATAAACAAGCTATAAACATGAACGAGAAATAATAACTAAAAAAAAAAAACTAAATTAAAAAAAATAAAAAATCTTAACAAATAATAAAATGAATAAAAAATAAACCAGAAAAAATAAAAGCATAAAATTAATATACATTTTTATTTTAATTTAAGTGTTTTACTACAAAAAATTTTAAAAAAATTGAAGTTTCAAAATTATTTAATCCAAGCATAGTTATTTTAAAACTTAAATATTTAAAATTTAAAAACTGTGGCCAAGTTGTCAAAATTATATGCATGGACATATAAGGTGTGCAACGGCATACGTCTCCTGAGAAGGCTTAATCTATATTTTATTTTGGTCAGTTTTTTTTACAGTTTTTTTCATATGGTATTATTTATTCTATTTTTTTAATTCTTTTTTTGAATATGTTGATGGATAACATAACCTCCAAAAGTAAAGCAATTAGTTCTTTTTCCTATTTTATTTCCTGGTATTTGATGTCTTCTGACTGCTGACATTAAATGTATTATCTCTAAAATAAAATGCTATGCAATCTGCAAGTCTGCTTAATAATGTTGCAGCTTTTTCATACTTAACATCATAATTTAAATTTTTTTACTGTGTACTGTACATTGTTATTATGTTTATTATTATACTGTTATTATGAGTATTATTATGCAATATTGTAACAAAGAAACAGCCAACTTATTATGTAAGATTGTGTCAAAGAAACAGTAAATAAGGACCATTAGACAATTTTGAATTATGAAAAATATTATATGTATTGATGTTAATATTTGGTATAATTATTTTCTATAATTATTCAAGTTTAAGTTGTATTTAAGGTAAAAGCAAGAAATCAGATTGTGCTAAAAAGATTTTTTCTGTTTTAGTGCAATCAGTAAACTTGCTGAAATAGCTGAAACTAAGGTAAATATGAAATGCTATTCTACAGGTAACTAAACTAAGGTATGCATAATTATAAGAAAGAGTTTCTTAACTAAAACTAATTGAAACTTATTATAATTGTTAAAGTTATAATTAAAATAATTTAAATTTTTTTTATGTCCTTGATCACTATAACAAAATATTTTATAAAAAATTTTAATTTTTATATATTATTTAATTTGAATAATATATGTTATTTGTATTAAATATTTTTAGGGTTGGTTTTAAAACTTCAATGGAAAAACTATATTTACTACGAATTGATTCAGTTTTTATTAAAAATATTTAGAAAAGAAAGCATAATTCAGATGATGGTGATGATTATGTTGTGGATGATTGCATTGGAGAAGATGATGATTTTGTTGCTTCATCTGCGTCTTCAGATGTTGAAGAATTTGTTGAAAATGAACTCGAAGACTGTAACGAAGGTATGTTTAATTCTGTAATTTTTTTTTTTTTTTTTATTTTATTCTAAAAAGCAAAATAAATAATAAATATTTAATTTATTGTTTAAATAAAAGATATTTTTATAAAATAAATAAAAATATTTTTATTTTAAATAAATTGCGACATTACTATTATGAATTTTATTTGGGTTTTTAAAAAAGTATTATGTGTGCAATTTATAACTCATTCTACTAATGTCTTGTAGAAAGCCTCTCAGGCAATAACTTGAATGCCAGTCAGATTGTTTCATACTTCAGATGTTGAATCTTAAACTCAGTTTATAAATCATTGCTTGTGTCTAAATCAAACAACTAGGTGTAGATTACTATGCAGCTTTATCTGCTATACACTTTTAGTGCATGCTCATACCATCTATTGCAAATATATGTTTGTGACATGACAAACCTTCTATCGCAGGAATAGATTTATTATAATGAACATGAAATATGGTAAGATTTGAAAAACTAGCACAGCTTGTTTTTCACTATAGGAAAGTTTATTGACTTCAAAATGCTTTGAAATGAATACCATTCCATATCATAGTTCAATTATATGATTATGATTAGTATGAACGGAATGTTCGCTTACAATGTTGTTGTTAATTTACAATTGCAATATACGTTCCTATTGTTAATTTATAATAAAACAAAAGTTTTTTGTTATGTACAATGCAATAAAGAATAATGTAATTAATTAGTTAAAATTAATTAGTAAAAAAAGTAAAATTTAAAATATGTTTAAATTTTATTTAAACATTTGACAATATAAAATACATTTAAATAGTTATTTTTAAAATATTTAGTAATAAGAACACGAGGTGATAAAAGTAATTTGAAGCTGGTTTACAAAGACAATGCTTTTTATGAAATATGGTGAGGCTTTAACTTTTTTAAGATTAACTTTTTTTTTCTAAAAATAATCATTAGAATTATTTAATAAAGTTTTATATATTAGTTTTTATAGTATTCAAGTCTACTAATAGCATATTTTGTATCATAGGTTAAAGGAGAACATGTCTGATGATGTCCTTTTTCCGGAATGGCTCCCGAGATCAGACTGTTTGAAAGTTATCCCTGATAGGTATGTTAGAACTGTGGTTTTTTTTGTTTTTTTAATAATGAAAAAGAGTGGTTTTGTAACTAGCAGTTTAAATAAAATAAAATTAAATCATATGGTTTAATTACCATTCAATGCAGCCATTCTAGACCCTTGGATTTTTAGCAATATGAGGTAGAAATGTTTTAATAATTTTGCCTAACTAATGGCTTTAACCAACCAACCTAACCAATGATTGCAACCAACCACTCATGTAACCAATGATTACCACCAACCACTCACGTAACAAATAATTACAACCAACCATTCTCCTAATCAATTTTTTCAGACTATCTACAGCTTATTAGGACTCTTGCCCTGTTAATTTTGAAAAAATAAATAAAGTTTGTATGTAAAAAAATTTTTCTATAAGAAAGAAAGTTGTCTCTTTAATGCGTGTTAAAGTGCAGGCTTAACTAATTACTTAAGCACATTAATAACGTAAGTATTTCTATATAATGACATAAGCGCAACAAATTTTTAACGGTGTTTTCATGTTAGAAATTTTAAAAAGCTTTTTACAAAATTCTCTCCATTTCATTTTCTTTATATATGTTATATAAAATATCGATAGGCATTTAAAAATTATCATTTCTATTTTTCTAAAATACAAAGTCATACTTTATATTTTAGAAAAATAGAAATTTAAAAAAAAAATTAAGTGTGTAAGCGAAAGGATTTGAACCCACACGAAGCACTTTAAACACTTTAGCATGCTTTATCATCTTTTAAAAATGTTTAATAAACCAAAAAATTATTAAACTTTACAAAATGGCATATAAATGCTAATAAATCAAAATTAAGGAGATAATGCGAAAATAAACTTTTCAAGTAAAAGGAAATCTGTAAAATTTGATACAATTTACATAACTTGAAGTTTACATGTTAGATATTTACATAGACTTTTGTTTACAATGATAAAATACAAATCATTATGAATTGTGGTTTTAAAAAAATGCCTAATAGCTTTGTAAAAGAAATGATGTTTTTATTTACACATTTATTAAAAAATTAACAAAACATAACAATTTTTAATAGTTTTCAATTGTATGAATATATTGAACAAACATGTCATCTGATTAATCTAAAAAATTTATAAATTAAAAAAAGGAAAAAATACACCACATGTATTAACTGGAAATTAATTTATTTATACATAATAACTGAAAAAAAATATATATATATAAAATGTTTTATTTGCAAAAAAAAAATAAAATAAACAACATCTGCATTATCAATTAACAATTGGTAGATTAACCAACTACAAAAATACTAATTAAGGTCAATTTAAGCTTATATAAAATTAACATCCTGTTAAGATACAATACATCACCTATAAAACAGAACGTGTTTCATTAAGTAAAACATTAAATAACTATACTTTAATAACTTTAAAAACTAAAAAAATTAATATTAAAAAATTAAAAAATACATACTGTTTACTAGTCTTCTCCGTTTGAAACTTAACGTCACGAAAAAGGTTGCCCCTTCACAAGTTCAAATCATCAGCTTGCTTCTTTTTTTTTTTAATTTTTGTTATTTAAAATGCAAAACACCTTTCTTTCATTTAAAACAAACTTCTTTCTTCAAAAGTGTTTTATTTTGTTTTTTAGAAAAATCGAAAAAAATTAAATCAAAAAAAAAAAAAAAAAAAAAAAACGCCAGTGGTAGGAATCGAATCAGGGCTTCCACAATAGCATACCGGCATAATAACCACTTGGCTATGCAGGCACATTGTCTAACGGAAGTTTTAAAACTATATATTAAATAAAAGACTTTATAAAACGGTAATAAGTGCTATAGATCAAACATCTTAAGGAGATCTTAAGGAGATCTTAAGTAGAGGCCACAATTTTTAAGTGAAAGTAAAACTTTAAAACTTGATATGGGTTTTAGTATGTTTTAACATTACATAGTTTGAAGTTTATGTAAATTAGATATTTGCATACACTTTTGTTGACTTTTCTTATAAAAAAAGTGCTGAAACTCTTTCTCGCTATACCTCGGTTGCAATGGCTGCTAAGAGTACCATGTCAAACATGCTCGAATGAGCATTCACATTTTCCTTGTTATATTTTAATAAATAGTAATATAATAAAATAATAAATACTAATAAATAGTAAATTTTTCTGCTATTTACTTTAAAATAAAAAAATAATAATAATTTTAAAAAGTGCTAGTTACAATCACTACAATTTATATAAATAGTAAATATTAAATCACTAAGTAATTTAAAATGATAAACATAGCCTTAAAATGTCTAAAATAAATAATAATACTTTAAAATAGTGCTAGTTATAGAATAGATAATTGGAAAGTGGTTTATAAATCCAGCCATAGTTTTATCACGGAAAACATTTGAAAACTTATTGATAATTAAATACCAATAAAAAGTATAAAAGTGCACATTATAAGTTCCCTAGCAGAAAAAGAAAACCAAAACAAACTTGATTACTATTATATTTTTCTTAACTAATGCATTTTTAGGCTTTTTATATCGTTATCAAAATACTTAGTAATTTTTGTTCTAAAATTAAAATTTATTTTAAATTGTAATAAATTGTTTTCATTTAATAATAACAATTTAATGATAACAATTTATAATTATAATCATTTAATAATAACAATTTATTACAATTTAAAATAAAATTTAATTTTAGAACAAAAATATAAAAAAAAGTAATTTGATAACAATATAAAAAGCCTAAAAATGCACAAATATGTTAAAATAAGAAGACAAAATTTTTTTTAATCTTATTTAACTTATGCCCATGAGCAACAATTTAACTTCTCAAAGTTAAATTTTATAAATATTAGTAAGTAATTAAATAGCAATAAAAAGCATAAAAATATAAAAATATGGTGATTTAAGGCCTACTGGCAGCAAAGGAAGACGCTAAAAAAATCAAAATATTTTTTTCTTATCTACTTTATATCATCCAAGAGCAACAAATTGTTGCTATTCAAAACCAATTTTTTTTTAATGATCTACCCATGTATATATATATATATATATATATATATATATATATATATATATATATATATATATATATATATATATATATATATATATATATATATATATATATATATATATATATATATATATATATATATATATATATATATATGAGTGGGTCAGAAGCCAAGGGGTACAAGTGACATTTTCATAGTTTTGAGATACAGCTGTTTAAAGTTAAAGTATTTTTGTTAAATAAACTCAGCTGTTGTTATGTTTTTCTAGTAGAAAGCAGCACAGGGCAGAGATTCACTTGTATCCCTTGGCCACCAACAATTTTGTTTGCTTCTTCTATCAAATTCTATACTTAACTTAATTTTGGCAAAATTGTCACTTGTACCCCTTGGCTTCTGACCCACTCATATATATATATATATATATATATATATATATATATATATATATATATATATATATATATATATATATCGTTGGCCGGAATAAGCCAGTTTTATTTTTAATTCTTTCAATTTTTTTTTAATTTAAATAATTTTTTATTAAATTATAAGGGAGTTTTATTTTTAAATAACTTTTGTTCTAGTTAATAAGATATATATTAATTAGATATATCAAAGATACTTATTGAATTTTATTAATTTTTTATTAATTTAAAACAGTTTTTCACGCATTTGCTAAGTGTGCGCAAATTAATGATAACTAATATACAATAACCTTTTGACTGTAAACTGTTATCTATTAATACAAAATAGTGAATTTTTCTCAATTTAGTTTGTTAAGTTTTAAAAAAAAGATATAAACTTGATGAAATTTAAATAAAAGGGAACTAAAAATAAAATAAAAGTTGTTTTGACTTTACTTTTTCAAAACATTTAAAAATAATAATATAATATTAAGCATTTATTAAATTATTAAATTAAGCAGTAGATTTATAATTTAATAAGTTATTATTAAATACCTGATATTATTATATTTATAATATTAATTATTTAATAAAAAAATATATTATTGGTGTTGTTAAACGCACAATAAAAAATGAAAACTATAATAAGCATAATAGTTCTATAAATTCTATTAAATTATATATATTTCTGCAAATTTTTTTTCAAAAATTTTTTTAAACGGTCAAAAAAAAGTCACCATTAATTTAATGTAATAAAATTTTTTTAAATTTAATGTAATAAAATAATAAAATTAAATTACTAAAAAAAAAAGTCACGAGAATTTAAAAAAAACACGCTTTTGAAAAAAATATGTTTTAGCATGGTTTCGTTCAAAGTAATTGCAAATGCATTCATTTTAACTTAAATTTGCCATTCTTTTGTAAAAGCATGTAAAAACCATGCTAAAATATAGTTTTATTGAAGAAAATATTAGCACAGTTTCTTGTGCTAATATTTTCTTCAATAGCGTTTCTTTAAAGTACGTAACTGTAGAAAAAATTATATTTTAGTATTGTATTACATATATATTTAGTATTGTATAACAGTATTGTATACATTTAAGCAGCTTTCTTTTTAATGTCATCTATAGGAATTTTATTTCAAAACAAACAACTTTGCAATCCGATTATATTTTTTGTGAAGTAGTGTTGCAGTTTTCATTTTATTTCCTTGCAATTTATAGATTTGTAATGCTGCAATAAATGTTTACAATAACTTACCATAAAGGTTTTTAGTTAAGTTGTTATTGTAATATTTTTTACTGGAAATTTTAGTGAATACAATCAACATTTACCATCGTTTTCAAATATTCGCAATATTGAAGTGGAGTATTTTACAGATACAAAGAAAACTTCAACAAAAGAATTCCATTCTGCTGAATTATTTAAATCGTTTCCTAAACTGAAAGGTTAAAAAGGTTTCATTTACTCAAGATTTAAAAAAAATTTTTTTTGGAAATTTATATTTTTGGAAAATATTACTTTTCAAGCAATAATAAAAAATTTAAATAATTATACAATTTGTTTTAATAATTTATTTCAATATGGCAGTTGGTTATTCAACAAAATTGATTTTTATAAATAATTACAAGTAATAGTAAATGATATAATTATAGTAAATGAGACCACACTATATAGTATTTTAATGTAGTTAAATAAATTTATTAAGTTAATTCATTTACTTAAAATTTTTGCATCTAACGAATTTAAATGTAACCACATAAATATCACATAAATGTTATTTTATTATCTGAATAACACTTCATTGTTAATAAAATTTCTAGGCATGGAAAAAGCTAGCAACTTGACTGGAATTTAGCATCTAGTTAGTATATTACAATAACGTCAATTTATTTCACCATTAATCCTGTAATAATTTTTAAACGACTTGACTTATGTAAAGAATTATTAATAAATTGTTAGAATAATTTTAAAAAATTGTTTAAAAAATTTAAAAAAATGTTATTAGTTAGATTTTATAAAATATTAGCTTATAAGGAAATTAAATTATTTAAAAAGTGAGTTGAAAAATGACTACTAAATGCCTTTAGCAGAAATATTTCAATACAAGTTTAAATCACTTCGAAGGCAAATTATTTTTATCTAAAAAGTACACAAGGATGTTTAACTGCTTTTAATTTTCTGGACTTTAATTAGTGGTAGATGTAGATTCCATTTTTTATTCATTTAATTTAATTTTTTACTTTATCAAAACATGCAATGTGGTAGCCAACTATTAGTAGAACACTTGGCTTACACTCAACTAGTTGTAGGCCTCCTTGACTCTAGTGAAACTTCTGAAGTCTTAGGAAAGTAAATTTATAATTATAAATATTTTGAAAAATTTAGAAAAGATTATTTGTTTAAATAATAGCAACTGCATTGCAAAAAGTTTTAAAATAAAAATTTTGAGCAATTTTTAAAAAGTTGAAAAGTTAAAATCATTAATAAGGCTTAATTCAAATAATTTTAAAAAAGTATTTAAAGTAAATGTTATTTACTAAATTGCACTTGTGAATTAAATTTAATGATTTTCAAGTTAAGTATAGCTAAAAAATAAGCATTAAACAAAACATTGATTTTTGTATTTTTGCTAACAAGATACATATATAATAAAGTAAAACATGTTGGTTATTTGAATATCAGTTGCTAAAGAAAATTTTTTCTCTTTACAATAGTAGTAAAAAATCTGTCTATCAGTTTTAAAAACAAAATTTTGAATTGTTTAAAGGAATCTAGTATCAATAACAAAAAGGATACCAGTTAAAGGTTAGTTAAAAAATTTAATCCTATCTTGGTGAAGTTTTTGGCAATGGAAAAATAAAGAACTAAGTCATAGTATGCCATGTGACAAATAGTAAAGAGGATAGTTTTTAGAGCATTTTTGGAGTGAAGAGGATTTTTGGAAGATAAATTATGTAGATAAATATATATATATATATCTGGAACTTAAAGCAAAGAACAAACGTACACAAGACAGGTACATATTTTAAGCAATGAAATGTCAACAGAGGCCAACAAAGATGCCCAACATTATGCTGATTACATAAGCCTTATTTGTCAAGGCTTGCCTTTCAGAATGAAAAAGAGACATTTGTAATAAAGATTTTTCAAAAAAAGGAGACTCCTTGACTGTAGTGCCCCTGCAGCTTGGTAGGTAAATACAATAAAAGAAAGCTGCAGCTTGGTAGGTAAATACAATAAAAGAAATACCTTTTGTCTGAAAATAATCTTACTATTGTTTTAAAAGCTAAAAAATGTTTAATATTCATCAAACAGGTACCTGCTATAAAGATTTAACATCTAAGTTCTCTCAAACTACTTGGCAACAAAAAGATACTTTGGTGTACACCTAGACTATGTATATGATGTACTGATTGCACATTTGTGGTCGATGCCAATGGATAGAAAAAAAGCCAATACCAATGCCAATACCAATGGAATAATTAACTATTAAAATTTTTGAAAATATAAAACCATACAATTTTAAAATTGTGTAAACTTTTTTATGGAATTAGAACTGGTAAACAAATACTCGTAACCAAATTTGAGCCAAACCTTTATTTTAAAAAATATTAGTAAAGCTCAGTTATAATAATATACATTTTTTAGTTTTTTTAACTATGGAAAGAAAACTTTAATAAAAAAATACAATTTTAGAAGAACGCTTTTTATTTCAATTTAAAAAAAAATGGTACTAGGATAAGCGGTTTACTTAGAATTTTAAACTATTTATAAAAGATGAATAAAAAAGCAGTTGTTACATTGTGTATAAGAATATATTTAGTATTTAAAATTGTGTGTATGAATATTGTAATGTAAAAACCTAAGCATTTCTCCTGTTTCCAGAGCCAACTTATTTCGTTGAGGAAAATAAATTTGTCCTCCACAACTGAACAATTGTTCACTTTCAACAGAAGATGGAGAGCATGACAAAATAAAATTATTCTAAAAATAACATTATGGTAATAAAAGTTTAAGTACATTCAGCTGTTAAATTAAAGCTTATAAACATTATCTTAAGAATAAACAAATTTACCTGTAAACAAAATCAATATAAATTCTCAAAAAAATTTAAGTAATGCATATTTTGTAAGTTTTGTTTTTTTGTTATAAATTGTTATCATAATGCAGAACAAAATTCTTAAAATGCCATACCAATTCACGTGACATGTGCACATTTTATCTTGTTATCTATAGAAATTACATACTTTGGTACTACATACCTTTACCTGTTAATGCACTAATTTCCATATGATTTTAGCTAATTAGTTGTGAGTTATATTTGCATAATATGTTGCTATATTGTTGTCATTCTATTTGAATATTCTAGATTATCTAGTTGCAACAATTTTTATGCATAATTTATATGACTACTAGAATCCACGTCTAACTTACATTATACCAGTTTAAATGGCTTTCAACTAACTTTGCAACTAATTTTGTACCAATTTTGTACATTCTAATAACACTTGCTACTACAGTATGGATACATACATACTTTACATTGACAATTTACATCACATGCACAGTTATAAGAAATTAAAACAAATCACTATACTTATTGTCATTCATGTCAAATTACTTACAATTGTATGCAAATTTTACTTATCTCCAGTGGTCTCAATGTCAATATAGAGGTCTGTGCCATTGTCCTGATAGGATACCCTGAGAAAAGTCCTTTTGGGATAACACAAAGGGATACTCTAACAAAAAAATAACCTGGTGTACACCCAGAGTGGTTCCTCTTGTGGGACACAAGTCTCTGATGAGACACAACTCCTTGCTTACCAATGTTGCTTATCTGGCCATGGAACATTCTTTTGTTTAATCATCCCCCTCCCCCTCCTCCTCCCTCCCCTACTGTTGTTAATGTCCAAAGACTAACCTTGAAGCAACTAATCTTTAAGAATTTATGTATGACTGGTCTAATATTCTTGAATAAATTTAAATAAGAAATAAAAAAAAATACATCTATCCAGATAATTAAAATTTTTTTGTGCTTTTTAATTTAAAGGTATATCGTAGCACACACCCAAATCTTAAGTTTAATATTGTTTCTAGTCTCAAATCGCCGCAATTTTTTCTAAAACATTCTTATTTTGCATCAGTACAATTATTACAAAATTTTATGAAAGCACCGTTTCTGGAAGTTATCTATCTTAAACACTAAAAATTCTGGACCACTTTGTTTAACCCCCTTTTATTTTTTTAGATATCGACAGAATATTTTCAAAATCTAGGTCATAACAGAACAAGGTACGATGGTTTTGAAAATGTAATCTGTTTCTGTTGTACTTTTTTTTTGTAGGAAATATTTCCACTAGGGTATGAGCACCAATTTTTATTATGTCCATAATGTAGTCAAATGAAATGTCTTGCTAAATTTTAAGTGATGATTAAAACAAAAATAGAGATTATTAGAACAAAAATTAAGTACAAACAAATAACAAAAAATATATATAATTGTATGTGGTGGAGTTTTTTGATTAAAAAAATTTTCTCATGCATCTGCTTTTTTTTTTTCGGGGAGTGGGGGAGGGGAGGGATGGGCAGGGGAGTGTGAGGGATTGACATGATTATACTCTTCAAACAATTCAAAAAAGGTTACAAAAAAAAATAACTCATCTTGAATTTCCAAGGTAATTTCAGAAGTTTCTATAGATAGATATAACACAAAGAACTCTTAAAAATGATATTAAAAATGATACAACCTAAACCTAGAGCATGGTTTAACTTTAATGTGAATGACAATAACACTGTTGCCTTTTTTAGTTATGCATGTTCTAAAACTAATTTCCTTAGATAAGTTAATACACAACGAGAAAAATTAAAGAAAAATTTAAATGCTCTTAGAAAGATTAAGTCAGTAAAAAGTTAATACTTCTCAAAAAAAGGCTTCTTGACACCGATACTTCATCACCTGTGTCAAGTAGCACAGGTAATGGTTCATCTTCACTTCGCAAAAAAAAGAAACGTAAATAAAAAGGATCAAACCAATATCTGCAAAATATATGCACACATGTGAAGATGTGGAAAAGAATAATATAGATGCAAGTGAAATTAGTTTTTACATTAAAATGTTCGCTTAAATTGGACAGCAAACCCTCGCAAATGGTGGTCAGCAAACGCAAAACATTACCTTAAAAGAACTTGTTCAAATTTTCTTATTTTTAGCCAATGGCAGTATTTTCG